CGTAAACTACGCCAGAGCGTGTACACACCTCACGCACCGGAAGCCGTGCGCGCGCACAAAGACAGTTGGACATAGTGTTGTATTAGAGGTAAACAATGATATAAATACTGTTCGGTTTCTCGCACAAAGGACATCAATGTGTCGTCACAAGCCGCAGGGTTTAATTTGGATTTGTCTGTGCATGTTTTTTTTACTCTCATAGATTTTGCTACCATTGCCATGCATTATACGACTGATAGACTGCAACAGTTGGAGTTAAAAATCATAATTTGTGTTCTACTGAAGAAACAAAGTCACCTACATCTTGGATACCCTGGGGTTAAGCAGATAAACATCAAATTTTCATTTTTGGGTGAACTATCCCTTTAATGGGGCTCATGTTTGAATCTGGCTGTGATTAGTAGCAAGATAACGATGCTCTCTGGTGGCCGACTCATGTGGATGTTACAGTAGTAAAGTAAAACAATTGAAAATTCACCTGAGGGATTAGGGATAGAGACCTGCAATCCAGAGGGAGATAGGATCACACAAAACTACAAAACCAACCAAAGGAAAATGTGATATTTGGAAATGTTTTTCAGTAGTATGCAACAGTGAAGAAAAGCACTTTCCTTTTGCTTGCTGACAAATGCAGCAAGATACTCACATGCAACAGTCAAAGGTCTGAAGTGTCATGCTGCATTTGTGTCATGAAAGGCCAAACTTCCCTGACATTTATAGCAAGTACTGCAAGATTTTCTTTGTGCCGACCTAAGACAATTGTGTATGCTTTTACATTAAAAACAATGGCATCCAGTCCATGTTACAAACCATTTTAGAGGGACTACTCAGCACTTGTTAAGAGTTGATCAAAATAATTACATTCATTAAAATGATACCTATTTTGTGTTATTCCATTCAATGGTTGCTTAGTAATATGAAAGACTGTGAATGAAAATCAGGGTTATTCCACCAAATATTGATTTCTTCCTAAGTGAAACGCTGAACACTTCCTAAGTTAAAACATTAGTATTGTTTTGATTAAAAATGAATATGAACTTGTTTTGTTTGCATTATTTGAGGTCTGAAAACACTGCATCTGTTTTATTTTGACTAGTTGTCATTATCTGCAAATAAATTCTCTAAACTATGTTTACATCTCCATAGTTAGAGAAGCAACAAAATCAGTCAAATAAAGAATGAGTGTTTAGGCACCTGTTGTCCTTTTCTTTTCATTTGTCTTGCATACTGATTTTTACTACTTTAACTATGATTTTGCTACACTCTTTTGTAATGGGACAGAAACACTGAAACATTTTAAGAGACTATGTGTCATGAAAATAAATGTGTAAAAAGATATTCTTGAGATTTTAAAAGAATACAAGACAATACTTTACCAGTGGTTGTGATTGGTGGAGTAATGGATTCTATGGGTGGAATTCTCTCTGTTGTTGTAGACACTGATGGGATGGACTGGCTTGAAGCTTCTGGTATTAAGAACATTTTATATCAGTATCAAACATTTTTAAACATAACGTAGAAAAGTAAATTTAATTACATATGAGTAAATACTCACCTACACAGTAAGCTGAGCAAAACATTGGCTTAACAAACTCATAAACATAGTAATTTCCAGGACAGGCTTTGACTCTTATAGGGTGGGATTTGTAGTCACAGCAGCCACCCACTGATAAACAGACCTGACGGGTGACCACTCCATCTTCCAGCTGTGGACGAGGGCCGTTGAGTGATAGTGGGTGATAAGTGCCACACATGCCATAATTAACACATGATTCTGGCATCTGAGTATTTTGACCATTGTAGAACAGCCTGTACCAGCCATTCCACTCCACATTATTTTCACACATGCCAATGTTAGAGTAATTAGTGGCTCTCCAAGGCTCATCCAGACTGGTGTAGTTGTAGCAGGGGTCGACACTTGGAGTGGTTAACAATACTGTTATTAAAATGTAGAAAGAGAGCATTACATACTGCATATTAAATCTATTCAAGATAATAATATGAATACAAACCAATACAATTTGTGATAAACATGTCAAATAAAAAGATAAATGAACATACCTGCACAATATACAGGAGCTGGGATTGAAAGAGTTGGTCTGGTAAATTTGTAGACATAATAATTTCCAGGACAAGATTTAACTTGGATTGGTTCAGATCTGTAGCGACTGCACTGATCATAGTGAGAGCCGTAAATTTCACGGGTAACAACTCCATCTTCTAGCTGAGGATGAGAGCCGCCAAGATACAGAGCACTAAAACCTCCACATGACATAAATGATGCACACCAGTCAGGCATCTGAGCACTTGATCCATTAATGAAGAGCCGATACCAGCCATCCCATTCTACACGAGTGTCATCAAGTCCATTTGCATCGCCATTCCAATACCAGTAATTGAGTGTGCTTCTCCGGTGGTTGTCTAGTATGTTGTAGTTATTGCACGGGTCATAATCTGTGTTAGTGAGAGACCAAAACAGACCAGTTATATTTCAATGAGCAAATTCACGAGTGCAAATCTGAACTAATCAAACACATTAACAAACATGAAATTTAAATGTCATTGCCAATATACTGTACATACATACATACATCAGTGGTGGAAAGAGTACTGAAAAACTTTACTTAAGAAAAAGCTACACTGTAAAAAAAAGTTCGTTAAATTTATGGTAAAATACCGGCAGCTGTGGTTGCCAGAACTTTACCGTGAAAAATATGGTAGCAACATTTTAGGTTTTATAGAACTGTTTAAATTTACAGTGAAAAACTGTATTTCATTAACTGATACGATGTTAATATGCAAACCTTTGAATTAACTCACTTTATCTGCAGAAACCGACTGCACTTAATATGGCTAATTGGCATTTGTTTTTAAATGAATATTTATATTTAAGTAATGCGAGCATATTGGTAATGAGAACTATTTTGCTTAAATCCATGAAGAAAAATCTACTAATTTATGCAAAGTCATTAAAAGCATCAATTCAACTCAAATCTCTTGCAGATAACAGCAGCACACATTCATTTGTAATTGAAATTATTGAAGAGACTCACACTGCATCAGTATCTACACAGTTACTGCCTTTAAATAAAACAACAAGCAGCACAACATCACTGTTTCTCTGTCCGTCCTTTACTTAAACACAGGCTCTGCTCTCCAGCACAATGGTGACCCACAAAACACAACAGGAAGTTGACTGTTAGGTTTTACAGTATTTTGCTGTTTTTTTTTCTTCTTGATTTTACGGTGAAATACCGTAATTTTTCATCGCACACATTTAACCCCTTTAATCCCACAGCAAAATCCTCAGTTTTAAAGAGCACTTATATGTGTCCACACTACAGAGTGTTGAAGTGACACTGAAGCGGTGATGAAGTTAATGAGATAATTAAATGAGGATTGAGCATTAGTGATGAACACCTGTTAACAAGCAGAATCACTGAAGGAAAGAGAAACAAGAGCAGAGAAACACAACTTACAGCCAAAGCCAAAGATGAAATCAACTGAAAATAAAACACATTAAATTGATCAAGATCTCAGCAGAGGAGGATTAAACAGCTCCACAAACAGCATCACCAGCTTCTTATTACTAACCAGTGTGACTTTATTTCTGTCATATGTGTACAAAAGCTCTTATTGAGATTTTAGGTGTTGTACTTTCATTTGAAGTCACCATAATGTTGATAGGTGTTTGCTTTAGTTGGGCTCTTGAACCTTGACTTTTTAAAAATAGTTTTTCGTTGGTTGCTTAAATAAGCTGTGTTTGTTTAACGCAGTTTTTATAGCAAGAAAAGCCAAAAGCATCTATGATCAGATGAAACTGGTGTTTGTGATGTCAAGACCATCCTGAGCTAGTCTGATTCACTGATCTCACCTAATGTTTAATCTCTTATTAAGTGTGTGATATATAACTAATACTCTTGAGTTGCACCACTGATACTACCGCTGTCATTGTGAAACAGTCCTAAGCACGATATGCACAAATAAAAGTTTTAAACGATGGCAGCACTTAAACACACACAGACATCAACATTCAGCCTATGAATCTCAACATTGGTGACAAAAAAAAAATCATTCTGCAATGCATGCTGGGCGTTTTGTACTGGCACCCAGCATGCATTGCGGCATAATTTATTATTATTTTTTTTTATTAATAGTCACCATTGTTGAGATTCATGTGCTGATTCTTGATGCCTGTGTGTGTCTAAAAGCTACTGTAGCTCTAAAGGTTTTGTGCATAAAAGGTTTTTAAATTCCTTCACAATAGTTTGTCAACATATCTTGTAGAGTCATATTAGTACCATAAGCAAAATATTAATTTACCCATATAACTAGACACAAATTGAGATCAGTGAATCAGGTCATGAAAAATGAAACAATCATTACACCATCATTAAAAGTTATTAAAACCACTTCATTGCAATGTCGTTCAGCTTTTCTTGTCATAACAAATGTGTTTTACAAACACAATTACAACAGCAAAGAAACACTAATATTAAAGAGTCAAGGGTCAAGAGCCCAACTAAAGCAACCACTGATCGCCAAAATGGTGAGGCCAAACAAAACATTTCCAATACAATATACACCAAATTTTTTTTGTAGATATATGACAGAAATAAAGTCAAACTGGTTAGTAATGAGTGAAGCTGGTAATGCTGTTTGTGGAGTTGTTTAATCATAATCTGCTGTTTTATTTAGGTTAATTTCATCTAAGGCTGTGGCTGAAGTCAGTTTCATTTCTTGCTCTTTTCTTCAGTGATTCTGTTTGTTAACAGCAGCTGTTCATCATTGGCTGAATTCACCCATTAGTTTTCATTCTCTCTGTCAGGTGGACTATATTAGTAAACTCATGTAGGGAATAGTGAATGAGGGTGTAGGGTGTGATTTCAGACACAGTCTCTGTGTGTCGAATCTGAGGCTACTTTCTTGAAAACAAAGGTTAGATCTATTACAGTTATTCACCGTATATTGTAAGGAAACTTACTGTTAATCATTTAACAGGTTTTTACTGTGGCATTTTTACAGTCTTTTACCGTTAAAAACACGATCATTTTTTACAGTGTACTTAAGGAATAATTTACTTGAGTACAAGTAAAAGTACTGAAAAATAATATAACTCAAGTAAGAGTAAATAAGTATTTTGCTGAAAAATGACTCAAGTTACTGTGTTACAAAGTACTTCAGTTTTATTTTTCTATTTTTACCCAAAATGAGGCGATGTGAGCATTATGGAGCATTAAACACTCTCATGCAATGTCTGTTTCACAAGTGAGACTCATAGAAGTATTAAACTTATGACTTTCCTGGAAATCCCTTATGTGGACAAATGCATCAGATATCCCTACAGCTGAATAACATGCAGACATTTTTACTGATGAAATATTAAGAAACACACAATTGCAATGATATATCTGTGTTTATCTTTGTTCTTTAAACCATTTCGGGTATTTTCATAAGAATGATGTATATGTATAATGCAATGCTAACCGACATAACCTGTATCACAGTATAGAATTTTATAATAATAATAATAATATTTTTTCTGTCTCATTCTGTGATAAGAAGCAACACGGAACCACAGACACAAGTTATCTCAAACATGACTGATGTTATATAGTAATTTTGGACCAAAACATGATATTAACTTCATAAATTGTCATGTAATTGACAAATTAAATTGCCAGTAAAAAATAATGTGGGGTATGTGTAAGCTTGGGCATCGTTTATATAT